TCTTCAAGAGTGACTTATGAGGAAGGGGAAAAATTGCTATTTCAGAAACATATTCATTCTTTCTTTGCATTTGCTACACTAGCTATGACTTAAATATCCTTCTGCCTCACCTGAATGCCAGAAGAGCACAGCCCGGGAGCAGCCTGGCCGCCCTACAGTGGCAGCCTGCTGCCCTGGCAGTATCTCAGTAACCAACTTGTCCTATTGGCTGTCACTTCCCTGCTTGCCTGAATAGCTTGTGTTAGTGACGCTAAGAGCTACGATGCTTTGGAGTATGGGGGGCAGCATTACAATCCTTGGAAACAAAAATCTGGTAGCCAGCTTTTAAAAGTTATTTACCCGTATCTTATAGCACTTGCATTTCCATCAGTTGTTATTGTCTCAGATTCTCAAAATTCAGTATGTTGGAAGGAGCAGAGAGCTGCAACTGGGGAGGTCGTAGCCTGTTCCCTGCCCTCTGTCTCATCACTGGAGAGCTCTGAGAGCTGCCTGGTGCAGGACTGACGCTGTTTCCACCTCCACTAACTGGAGCTGATAGTACCTATCTGTCCTGTAACAAGCTTTTCTTAGAAGCGATGCAGTGCCATGAAAAAGATAGATTACTTACTGTACAGTGACTAAATTATCAGTCATTTACCAAAAAGCCCCAAACCAACCAAACACTCTCTCTGTACTCCTAAACTGTGTTTCTAGGATCACTTCTGACATGTATGGATACCTCATTTTACTGATGTCCTCATGGCAGAGGTCTCCCCCTAAAAGTTGAACAGGCTCTCAAGGGCAAAAGGCAATACACAGACAGCAATTTTCTGTCTGCAGCAGAGCTATTGGACATCACCCTGTTTGACTCTAAAACTCTCTGGGTACCTGAAGTTATTTTTCTGGCTGTCTTAGGCACCCAGGATGAGAAACTCTCTGCCTACCCTGTACCTAAACTTTACCTGGATCCAGAAGCCAGGCACTCACCTGAGTTCACTAAAAAGACTTGTCTAAGGGGCAAGCCTAGAGCACACTTTCTGTCCTCCCATCCTGGAGCAGTGGCATTCAAATACAGCCAGAGAGATTAGTGGTGCTGCCCTGCGCACCCCTAAGGCCTTAGCCTTTGTGGCCTGTCGTGGTTTAACCCCAGCCAGCACCCAAGTACCACACAGCCGCTCGCTCACTTCCCCCAGTGGAGGAGGAGAAGCGGAAGACAAGGAAACTTGTGGGCAGAGGTAAGAAAAATTTAATAATTGACTATAAATTAATAAAACAGTGATACTAATACTAACGATACCAATAATACTAACAATACTAATAATACTAATATTACTACTACTAATATGTAATAAAAGTAATATTACCACTACTAATAACAATATATAATGAAAATAATGGAAAACAAAACAGTGTGATACAACTGCACACCACCAGCTGACTGATGCTCAGCCAGGTCCTGAGTAGTGAGAACCAGAACCCGAGAGGGCGATCCCACCAGAGTCGGAGCAAGCCCCACGAGCGAGAGCACAAGCGAGAAAACCAACCAAATAACCTGGCCTCCAGCCCGTTCCCAACTTACATACCAAGCGTGATGTTTTATGGAATGAAATACCCCTTTGGTCAGTTTGGGTCAGCTCTCTGAACTGTGTCCCCTCCCCGCTGCTTGTAGCAAAGAAGTTTGGAACACAGGTGCAATATCAGCAGCTGAAAAAGTCCTTGAGTTGGTACCAACACTCCTTAGCAACAGCTGCAAACACCAGTGGTATCAGTACCCTTCTCAGCGCAAATCCAAACCCTAGCCTCACACAAATCCAAAACGCAGCCTCATACCAGCTACTGTGAAGAAATTAACTCTGTCCCAACTAAAACCAGCATGTGGCCAAAACCTTTTCCCAAAAAAAGCATTCTCCCCCTATAAATAATTACAGGATATGTTCAAGTGACCTCTTAACCTTTCTCTCCAGAGCCTAGTCAGAGCACCCCAGATATTTCTCCGTAAGTCAGGTTTACAGGACCTTTCCGTGTATTTGCATCCAACAAGACCTCCTCCACTCCCACTCACACATTTCTTGTCATGCCTCATGATTCATCTGTTATTTGCCACCTTGGAGCCCCTTCAGAAGGGAAGAATGGTAGCGGGGAGGGTTTAGGGAACATGCTTCAGGGAGACTGAAACTTGTGGAAGCACGAGAATTACCTCTGAGAAGTATTTTCCCAGAAAAGTTGCTTTTTAACTTCTGTCACCCTCAAAATGACTTATTCTTTATGATAAATGCTACATGCTGGCAAATCCTTCCTAGCTTGTTCATCAAAGCGGTTGGTGAGTCTTAGTGTTTTGTGCAACCGCGTTTTTAGCCAGCAGTGCGTCCCTCGTTTTCTGGCCACACCAAGCCATTTAAGGCTTACAGCCAGTTTGGGACCAGGTTTATTTTCTACTGAGGAACTAGGGCAAGCCAAGGTGGCCTACTGCAACCAGATCAGTTGAAGGGATGCTGGACACAATAACTTACTGGGGAAAACAAGAAGATTAAGGCACTGTACGGCCCAAATCGTTCTTGTTTGTTCCGTACAATTAACCAAAGCAAATTGTCAAGGCCACGGTATAGCCCTGGCCTCAGCTGTAATGCAATTTGCCCTTGGTATTGCTTGGTCAGCAGGCTCTAGTTTGAGGGGCAGAGATTTGGACGTGGGAGACTCTGGTTAACCACACGCAGGAACAGCTTGTGACAGTATGATAGCACAGCCAACCACCATAAAATCCACTTCTTTGGTGGCTTCCACTGGAATTGATGGGAACTTTGCTTCGATTAGAGACAAGTGGGCTGTTACCTGCTCATGAAAACAAAGCTGGGGAACTGCGCAACGGCACAACTGGAGTCATGTCTGTCACCTTAAAAGAAAAGGTGAGCCCGGTGTGCAGAACAAGACAGGTGCCAACCAGGGACTCAAAAAGAGCTCAGGAGAGGAATAATCACTGTATTTTTTGTTAACTGCATAGAACTTGCTTTTTAGTTCCTAAGTAGTGATGTAGCTCCAAATTTAAGATTTGTGATTATGGTTTAACAAGGGCTATAGCAAATAATCAAGCAATAGGAGAGCTCTTCTGGCTCACCCACGGGAGGTGCTGTCGTGAGGACTCCAGAAAGCATTGCAGCAGGAGTAAGTAGAGATATTCATAGCCTTTTCTTCTCCCAGTATCAGGTTGTTCAGTTCTAGCAGGTTAAATTACACGACTGAGGTCTTTACAAAGTATGCTTGACTTGCCTTTGTTTGCGATTTTTTGCTTTCATCTTCAGGTGGCATTTATGGTTACTGAGTTAACATCTTTATTCTGAAAATTTAGGACAAAGCAGGCTTCCAAGGAACATTACTCTCAAACATTTCATATGTGAAATTCATAAAGCCTGTGGAGGAGCTGCTACCCCTATTGCAGTGTATGATGGTGCATGTTAATTCGCATGGCCTGGCCTAACAACCCTTTAAAAAAAAATCAAATACTTTTTAATAACGTCTTGCTGGGTCCTGAAATTAGTAAGAGTGATTTTAAAAGGTGTCAGTTCAGAGAGATGCTTCAAAATAGGGGAGTAGTGGGGCTCCTGTCCTCCCTGTTCTCTCCTGTATCGATGACTGGGATTCATTCTGTCCTTTCATTGGATTCCCTTGTTTTCCCATCAAAGCACTAATCTCCCAAGCAAATTGTTGCTGCTTAGAACTGGATTCATGACTGGAAACCACTTCCTGTACTGTTTCACTCCTTCTGCCTACCCTAGAGCATTTCTTGCACAGCTTAATCTTCGACTGACCTCATTCTTTGAATAACTCCTGCTTCTGAGACACTGAGTCTTGTACCTCTGATGACTGCAAAGTGAAACCTGATTCCAGCGCTGCTTCAGGCAGGTCGTATTGCCCACAGCACCTTCCCAGCTCGGGACTGGAGGCTCAGCAGGATAGACAGTAGAGCAAACAGAGCGCCGAGCGGGGTGCGCGTTGTGTGTACGTTGTGCGCAGCAAGTGGTCGCAGGCTGGGCGACTCCCCTTGCGCCAGCTGGTTGTAACACATGCCTGCGGTGCACAGCGCTCGTTTGGACTCCCGTAAATTAACCTGTGTCGGTTTACCCCTGCTAGAAAGAATGCTGAAGGTAAGATGGGCTGGTCGGATTCTTACACAAGTTTCTCTTTGGGTTTGATGTCACAGTGCCAGTGATTTATCTGAGATTAACTAATACGGTTGAACCAACACAAGGAAGAACATTGGTGTTTTCTCTCTCCCTCTGCAGTTTCAGTATCCGTATATTTCCTTGAGATTTCAAGCTGCACTATTTTTCCAGATAATAACCTGTTTGTACATTTGTTTTTAATCCTTCACACTTTTATGTTAAAAAATCAAGGCAGGCAAGTTGAACTTTCACAGAAATTGATGGTAAATATTGCCACCAGATAGAAATATTCTGTGAAAGATCACAAGAGTATGTCATGGCTGATCTGCTGGCAGAAAAAGAAAATGTAAATTTGAGGTGCTTTTTATTTGCCTTCTGTTGTGCTGGGCTTTTTCTAACCTGGAAGGGTCACGTTTTCAACCTTTTTTTTCTGCTGGTATAAATATTATTTCAGTAGTTGAGGCTTTGAGAACAAATAAACAAACAATCAAGCCACATAGATAGGCTGCTGGATAAGTTGGCAGTGCTATAGATACTTGGGAAAAAAAAGCCCGAGTAATTATTTTTAACTTGCTCTTAATCTCATACTAGTATAGCAAAAATGCCTTCAAAATGGATCTCATTTCCTGGTGTAAACACAACTATATGAATCCAGATTTTTCAAAGAAAATAATGCCAAGTATTAAAAATGCTACTGCAGTTTTAGACTGATACACAGCAAAAAGAGCGTCTCAGACTTGCCCACAAAAAATGATTCACAGAGGCATATCAGCAGGGGATAAAATAAATCCATTTAGATCTTAAAAAAAAGTAATGGTGAGGACGTAATATGAAATCTCTCATACTATTGCTGCCCAGTGTAAAGGTTTGCTTCCTTCTTTCATTTCAGCCCCTTAGTGTGTATGCCTATTTCAGGAAACAGGTTTTAGGGCACTTTTAGTTCAGCATCTGTGTATTTGATTTCACAAATTTACTCTCACTTTTGAGGTTTTTCAGTTGTATAGGTGCCTAAATAAGAATCGAAACCAAGACACAATGTAGCTTTGGGGTAACTTTGGAGCTCTCACAAGCTCTCACAATAGTATAATTCTAAAAAGTCAGCAAACAAAATAGAATTGAAAACAAATTAGTTTCCCCCCCGGGGAAAAGTAATCTGTCCCACTGAGCCAACTCCCTCTCAGCCTACAGAGAGGGTAAACAGTGCTTGGTGAGAAAAATCGGAGGAGTTCTCCGCAATTAAAGTTACAGAGCAGCCGGTTCATCATAAAATAACCTCCAGGTGGAAACCTCCCCAAGCCCCAGCCATGCAACCCCACAGATCTTACATTGCTGGAAGGCGGAAAGAAGAGAGACAGCCGCAAGCCAAATTAAATCGCCAGCCATGGCAGCAGCAGGTTCCGTGTGCGAGCAGGATGTGCGTATGGGAGAGAGCGCCTGAGCGAGCAAGGAGGAAAAAACCAACAGGTGGGGCAATTGTGGTGCTTTTCAGCACTGCAACAAAGGCCTGCCCAGGAAACGCAACAGCCTGACTTTTTAAAACAAGAGCGCCAAATTACGGCAGTTTTTCATTCCTGAGAAAGTCCAACTACAGTCCGCCAGCCCTGCCTGCTTCTTGCCTGTGTGGGAGCGCAGAGAGAACAAAACCAGCCCTTCCTGCTCTGTGGATTCAGCTGTTCTTTTATGTCTTAGATTTCAGTTGCAGTCTCTTTGGGGGCGAAAGCTTTTTGTTCTCTGTGCAGGGCCTGGCGTCCATCGCCAGCAGTGCCACTCGAAAGCAGCAGGTGCGGGGGGAGCGGGGCTTTGTGCTGTCCCTACGCTTGATTTATGGGTTTTGCTGAGCACGTACAGTGTGGGCTCTGGCGGGTGGTGTGACAGCCACTTTCCGTGCAGGAAGGGATTGTTCAGCTCAGTTCAAAGGGTAAAACAACTGAGAAAGAAACGTCTCCCCTCATTCTACTGCCTGGAGCTTATGCCTGGGAGAGGTACTCTCAAGGAACATTGCTTCATCAGCTAGCCCTAGCTAACGGGAAGCTTTCTGTCGTTAGCCTGTATGATCCCGTAAGACCACTGGAACAAAACCGGTGTGATGTTTGTTGTGACTCCAGGGTTTCCTATCCACTTGGCCTCCAGCTGATGTTAAAGTGGGATATTTCATTGACTTTAGTCAAATTGGCTAATTTTAAAGGCTAATGTAAGAAGGACTTAAAATCAGTTGTTTTACCTTGCCAAATTTTAAAAGGTTATTGCTTGGGTATTAATTCAGTAGGTTGTTCTTTCTAAAGACTGGAAGGGTAGATAGACTGTAATAACAGAAGTTGGATGTTTGCACTTAGTAACTCTTTAATTGCTGATTTATGTGCTTTAATTGCAGTTCTTGTTGCAGTGTGGGTTGGCTTTCTGACCACATAGTCTCTCTGTGTTTTTAGGGGGTGGCTTAGCAGTGTTCAGAGCATTGTCACCCTGCTGATGCAGGGACATGAAGGAAAACTCTGACAAAGCCAGTCATTTGAAAAATTAAAACCACAAGGGCTAAGCATTTTAAGGCCAGCTGACACTGAAGTCGTGGGGTTTTCTGACTTTTTTCAAGGGAGGTGAGTTTCAGAATGGCAATCAACATGTAAAATCCAGCAAAGGCTGACTTAAAAGTAGACAGGAATGTAATTTAGGGCAGGAGGTTCAATCCACAGAAATAGTTTAAGTTACATGGCCGTTAGGGCTGAGCTAGAGTCTGCTTAAAACTCTGTTCACTTTCCACTGGTAGCAGTCTGTAGTTGCCTAAACATTTATAAAGCCTTCAGCCAGAGTAGTCCATGGCCAGTGTTATGAGTTACTTCCTGAGTAACACGGAATAGAAGGTCGGATCGTATACAAAACAAGGTTGGATTTATTTCCATTTGTGGAAATGCAGTAGTACCTCAGATGCCCAGAGTTTTATGATGTGTGTAAGCCCCAGTACATAAATAGATGCCACGATCAACCAAGAGATTTCTCCAGTTGTGTCAGGCCATTTTGACAGCTTGTCTGTGGCTGATTTCTCAGCTTGCTCCTGACGAAGGTAATTTGATTTTGCATTTCCTTCACTTGCATGTGTTTCATATGTGCTTTGCTTATCTCTGCTGTTGTAAACACATGTGTTTTCTGCAGCTGCCCAAAGCAAGAACGGGGGCTCTGAGCAGTGAAATGTAATGTGCAGTCAGAGATCCTGGTGGTCTTAGACTTAGAAAAGAGACTTAGGTCTTTCCCATCTGGAAACAGTGGTATTTTATTGCGGCACTGTACTTTGTACATGTGGTCTAGAAGGAAAGTAAGTTTTCAGAACCGTGATTTACAGCTGCGGAAGCTGCGGCATTGGGTAGGGATGGGACTTGCTGGTTACACGCAGCAGTTGTGTGTCAGAGCTGGGCGTCTGCAGAGCCCCAGGATTTAAGGCAAATCAGTGGTCCTGCCTCGTGCTGACCTGAGCATCCCTGGCAGACCTTTCCAAAGAGGCTGGCCCTTCTCTCTGTAGAGAAGCTCCTGTTGACCAGCAGCGAAGGCAAATCCCAGCAGGGTGGCAGAACTGCTGTCACGGGAGAGCAGATGGTTGGGGCAGCGAGACCAAAAGCATTTAAGTGTGAAACCAGACTGATCAAATAAGCTCTTTTAATGGTGTTACACTGACAAAGCTGATCAGTTTTTGCCTCTGGAAGAGCTGAAAAGAGCTTTGCAAATGGCAGCGTTCAGTCTGTGCTGTGGTGTAACTTCTTACGGGCCAGGCACAAGTGGCAGTGCAGCATCTTCTGTTTTTAAACACCTTCTACAAGAGAAGACAGGCCCTGAAGAACAAAGAGGCTCCTCTGCCTGGAAGGGAAAACATATCTGAACTCTCATATATTTCATCGGAAACGTTGATAGGGTAAATCAAGACTATTACAATGCATGAGACTTGCTTGTGTATCAAAAGCAGTTTAGCTACAGCAGTAACAGTAGTGAGCTTTGTGGTTTGTAAATTTACTCTGCTTTTCAGCAGTATATTACAAAGAACATGGGCCTGCGTGGCACTGGGTCATACTCAGGCTTTAAATTTATCGGAACTATGAAACAGGCGAAAGAGGAAGAAAATAGGTTTATTGCTTCAAATGTTCCTATTTCTACCTCCTGAATACCAGCTGTAACCCATCTCTGCTGCAGTTTCATATATTCTTTGCATGGGGCCTCAGAGGAAGGATAAACAGTCCATTTTATTCAGTTCATTTTAAGGTCTGGCTGTTCACAGTCCCCTGCTTTGTGGCAGTTACCAAACGATAAAGCAGCTCCTCATTTTCTATCCCCATCCTCTGGACACTGGTGGCATGAGATCCGACTATTTTTCATGATGGTGGTGGTGGCAGAGCAGACCTGAAAGGCTTAAATAGAGTAGTAGCTAAATGTTCAGATTCTTCCCCAATCTGTACCTTCTGCAGCCTTATGTGACCACCATCAATATTGGATATAAGTCAGGAAAGAATTGGTTCATGGTGTTCTCATCTGGGTGTACAAAAGATTGATGTGCTTTAACTCCTGTCAGTGTTAATGGGAGTTGCTATATGCACATAAATTCCCACATGCCCGCAGGTCTCTTGGATCTCCTTATGGCCTTCAGGTATCATAACATTTTTTTACTCAGGATGTTGCCGGAACATTGAATCTGGGATGCAATTCTGGGTTGCAGCAGAGAATAATATATTTTAACCTCTGTTTATCAAACATAAACGGTGCCAATCTTGCATAATATCCCATTGTAATCATAGCAGGCTTTCAAAGGAGCAGCAAAAAGAGGAGTCTAGATTATTATAAGAAGTACCTTCATGTAATCACAGTGAGGGTTGGTTTGGGGTTTATTTTTTTAAATGGTGGTTTTCTGTTAAAAACCATGGTTTTTTTCTTAAAATATCTTCACCTGTTCTCAGCTCTGAGAAGCTTAGAAGTGTAATGGGAGAGATTATCAGACCCCATTCTGGAAAATGGTCCACACAGCAGCACATCTGCCCTGCTGTGTAAAAAGGCTGTGTGTATATGGGGATCAAGGAAAACCTGGGGCATGCAACTGAGTATAGGCTGAATATCCCTCACCTCTATGTCATCTCCTCCTAACATGAATGTTTCTGGAACAAGCAGTAAATTTCCAGAGAAGAGGTACAGCCTAACACAAGAAGGACATTTGGCAAACCCTGTCTCTCCCATTCAGCAGCAGAGGAAGAAGAAATATGGTGTACACAGCTATCTCTCATTCTTTCCTTTGACTTTTCCTTGTGAGAGATTCCATGTGTGCTGCAAAAGCTACCAGCCTGGAGATGGGGTGTGGGGGGCCTTGCAGCCACCTAATCATAGAATCACAGAATGGTTTGGGTTGGAAGGGACCTTAAAGACCATCTAGTTCCAACCCCCCTGCCATGGGCAGGGACACCTTCCACTAGACCAGGTTGCTCAAAGCCTCATCCAGCCTGGCCTGGACAAGGAGTTAGTGTCTGAGGAGTTAGTGTCTGAGGAGTTAGGCAAAGTGCATCTGGTTACACCTGAAGATGAGAAGCAATTCTCCCACATTCTTCACCCTGTGGAAATGTGTGGCTTACGCTCCGCATCTCTCTCACAGGCCAAAGCTGCTGTGGACCCGTATGATCATCTTGCCTGACTGCCTGTATAATACCAATTGGCAGCACTTCAGCAATGAATAACAACTCACTAATAAGTGATGGGAGCCGGGAGTCAGCAGCACTTCCAGGCGTTGGAATACTTCCTGCGTCACACAGTCCCGCTGGCTCTGTGTGCAGTATCTCCGGTTTGCAACGGGTAGTCTTGGGAGAATCGAGGGCTGGTCTGCAAGATGCAGATCCTGCACGACTTATGTCTGGATCAAAAGGAGGTTTAAAGATTTTCCTGTTGCTATTGACCAACTGGAAGCAGATTGCCCGGCCAGCGTGACTGCTCTGATAACTGGAATGCAGGGGATTAATGGAGATTCAGCAAGAGATTTGGAGACATGTTGGTTGTACATCTCTTGTCTCCCTTCACACCACCTAGAAGATTTGTGACAAGGTAGCGCTCGCCATTTTTTAACTTGCTAACCTTGGACAGAGAGCTATTTTAATTAGTGAACCACTTCAGCTCGAGGGAGTCTTTTCATCCGTACAGAAGGAAGTTTAATTTCACCTTTGTGGAAATCAGCTATGCTTAGGTAGCAGGAGGCAAACTGTGCTCATGTTCAGCCTTAGCCGATACCTTCAGGCAATAAGGTGGACCTGGCATTTGCTCAGGTAGCCGGCAAGCCAGGCCCTTCAGCCCGGCCAGCTCTTCAGGGCGGCTTGTGTTACAGTCACAACTGTGTGCCAGTATTTATCACCTGCATCTTCACCTTTTTAGAGACG